GTCAATTTCTCAAAATTCATCTTGCTTAAAATTTCATGTTATCAAAAGTGACCATGGCGGCTAAAAGCTAGTCTTTGGCCTGAAAGTGAAAAATTTCAACCCCAGATCTCTCCAATTGTTCCCACTTTTAGTGTAGAAGAAGGAAAACATGCCTGATTTTCAAAATTCAACCCTATGGTACAGGCCCTTAGAGCATCTCCAGCAGAGCCGCGACTGGGTGATTTTCAGCCCAAATCAGCGGCTCGCGGTGTAGTATGCCAATTTTGTTTCAAGTATCAAATTGCATAAAGTCACAGTCCAATATGTAGAAAGGCATATATTCTTAGGCGTATTATGGCATAATCACATTCTACGGGTCATTTAACCCATAGTCACTCACTGGAACCACTAGTCTAGCTCCACTCAGTCAAAAGTTATTTGGGATTTAAGTTTTATTTGCATACAAAAATGCTTATTGCATAATTGTTGAAACTAAGACCGATTAACTGGGAGGAATTTCTTGGAGAATTTTCGGACAACAAAATTTGTTTGTTGGAACAGCTCAAGGTGGCGAGAAATGAAGGATATAGAGCTGATGGTTTGATTCACATGTAGCTAGCATCATATAAGTAGTCTATGTACATGTGGTCAAACTGTGGGCAAGATTTAAAATGAATATGCAAAAAATAACCACGGGCTCATGAGTATAAGTCACACAAAAAGATAAGACAAGCTAGAGAGTTGATAAGTCAGGGATGTCAGGGTTCAATGACTACAAGACATGTGATCAGACATACATAACTAAACATTGTACAGACTATGATGAGTGAAGAAACAAAGAGTAGAAATGATAATAATGATCTAGGAATTTGGGGTGAGTAAGAGGAAAAAGATGAAATTTCAACAATAATGCAAACCACAAGTTGGCCTTAGTTTGTTTACATATTCAATATTCATTGCATAGGGTAACCACAAGTTGGCCACATTGTTATGTAGGTACACAGAGAATCTTGTATAGATAGCAAAAACCACAATTTGGCCGGATTTTATGCATATTTGTTATAGGTTAGGGTTAGAACCACAAGCTGGCCATTTATAAATTATAGGCTATAGGTTAGGGCTAGGACCACAAGTTGGCCATTTATAGATTATAGGTTAGGGCTAGAACCACAAGTCAGCCGGGTTGTAAATAGACTATTTAAGGAGGGGCTTTCCCCCCTCATTCCAATTTTTGATCATCTCATCTGATCATCAACCAGACAGAACAGAGCAATCAATCCATACATTAACCAGTGTGATCTTAATCAAGTGCCCCATTGAGATCATTCAGACATTGAGAAGCATAGGAGAAAGAAAGTAGTAACCAGTACAACTTGTGATCTTAAACAAGAGACAGTGATCTTAAACCATTGTGCTCTTGACCAAGATTCAAGGAGGAAGGGAAAGGCACGGTCAATAGTCACATTTTTCCTCCCTATCATCTCATAAATTCACATTCATCATCAGTACATACGTCAATCATTTTTCAAAATACATAAACATATAAACAAAAACATCTCTTACTCAACATTTCCACTCAAATAGTCTGCTGAATCCACATTGATCTAGGTTTGATAAGAGACTGCTACACATAGTTTCTCTATTATCAGTTTTTGCCACAACAATAAATAAATTGTTGTGTTAACTCTAGTGTAGTACAATAGAGGGGCAGGTCTTTCAAACCAGCCGTAACAGTTGTAGTAGATCATTACATACGTGATATATCTCATCTGCTATTTCCCCCTCACAGGACTGCCACCATTCCCAAAGGAGTTCTCACAGCGGGAGAATTTCGGGGTCCAGCAGAGCCGCAACCAGACCCGCAACTGATCGCCCCCCACCTTGCCCCCGGCTAGAAACCCAAGGCAATAGCCGCTTTGGCAGGGGGCGGCTACTCGCTCCTTGCCGTGTTTTTCTCGAGTCACACACCACACACCAACACAACAGCCAAGAGAATGCCTGTTTTCATATTGATCTTCTTTTTTTTCTCACTCATTCCCTCTCTTTTGATATCGATCTGATGATTTTTTCACCCTTGCATGTTTTTTTTATTCCAATTGATTGTCCTTTTTAACACAAGAAATAAAATTCTCTTATGTGATGAAAAGCAAGAAGCAAGCAATCAAGACCGAAAAAAAATTGATTTCCATGTTAACAAAAGTAAAAAGCGAGCAAGACTAAATACATCTGATGTGATGAAAGGAAGAGAAGCACATCACAGAGAAGAAGAGTTGATCACACATGATAGAAAAAAAGTCAAATTAACATAGATTAGTCTGTGTCCCTCTCATCTTCTTTCTTCCTTTTTGAGATCCACCCCATCAAGGTCGTTGAGCTTGCAGTATTTTTGAGGTGAGTTGGATGTCGAGATAATCATCGTCGTTGTCCATAACTTTGAGTCAATCCATAGTACTCATTGTGGTGGCGGAGGTGTCTAGTCTACATACCAGAGCTTGGCAACTTGGCCAACCGCCCCCTGCTACCTATTGCCAGTCTGCTGTGGGAGCAGTGTGACAGGGCTGAGACAGGGGTGTGAAATGTGGTTGCAGGCCGCTATTCAGACACAAACTGACCCCGGCTCTGCTGGAGATGCTCTTAGACTCTATCCAGAACTCATGATCAAAATGATTCTCCAGAACATTGATCATTTGGTCCTCAAGTTAAACCACGCAAATTTATCGACAAATTCCTCAAACTCCTTCAAGAGTGCCAGAAGCATTCATCCTCAAAATTAGATACCAAAGAGGCCCTTGGACTCATGGCACATTTTTATGACTGAGAGGCTGGGATTCAACCTTATTTGCTCAACATTCTTGAGCTGAACATTGAACGTTTTCATTCATTGTTCTCATTGATGTTGTAATATACATATGTCTACATTCTAATGTATCAGAGAATCTTACAAACCGAAATGAAATCTAATTTTTCTCTACAAATACCCTATAAACAAAACACAATTGCACCAGGATCCAAAACTGGAGGAAACCAAAAAAAAAAAGAAAAGAAATCCTTGAAAATTTACATAGTACAATACAAGGGAAATGAAATTATGACTCTCGAGCAGACCATGCACTGGGATAGGATCCGTTATTTCTATGAGAGTTGAGAAGGATGCCAAGAAGAGGAAACATAAACAATGATCCAGGGGGTCCTTGTATTGATGCCTATTGACGATTTCCGAGGAATTCGGATTTGAAGTCGGGATCACAAAACAAACCGCTCGGCCCAATGAGATACAATCCTTTTTCCGCGCCGATCACTTAGCCCATCCACCCGGTAAATTATCGCCCCTGAAGAAGATGATAATGTTTTTGTTTTTTGTTTTTTTAAAAAAAGAAGAAGAAGAAATTGATCAGCATGAAAGAACATGACAATCGTTTTTCTTCTCATCCAGGAAATCTAGTGCGGATTCGAAAGGAAATCGAGTACTGATTTTGATAGGTTTGAGGAGGTGGATGTATCCACAAGACAAAGGAAGGAGAGCTTACCATGAGAATTGGGGATGCCATCTAAGAAGCTGAAGTATTTAGCCAAGTTGGGTAGTTGATTCAGACGATCCAACATGTCGATTTGAAGGGGCGAAAGACCGAGGTCGTTTGTTATTGATTTGATGGCGTCGGAGGATAGAGAAGTGAGGTATTGGGTGCCCTGGGTTGGATGGCTCTTACTAGGCTGATCGACTGAGTTTGGTTGGTCGGGAGGATGTAGAGCAGACGTTGGAGTCTCGAGATGGATCAACTGCTGTGTTTCCGCGGAGTTCGGGTGGGTAGATGGGCCGGCCCGGTTTGTGCTGGGAAGGGTGGTCTGTTCGCCGGCCGGATCGGCTTCCAGAGAAGGCTCGTTTCCGATCCCGGCGAGATCCTCGATTAGGTCTTGACGGAGCTCCTGGAGTAGGCCGACCCGTCTGAGCCGGGAGAAATGGTTCTCGAGCTCACCGACGTTGTACTTCTTGATCCGTTGGCGGGACTGGATGGATTGGTAGCAGAACGAACACAAGATGTAGGTCAGGAAGATCGGCGCAATCACCGGCGAGAGGCCTGCCGCCAGATAGTTCAGTGGCGCCCGGTAGGGATATGTGGACGGCTTTAGGAAGAACGGCAGCTTGGGTAAACTTCTTTTTGGTTTCTCTTGGTTCGTCTTCTTGGTCCCTTCCATGGGCTCTGCTCTCTTCCGTTTCTCAGATTGAGGTCCGAGTTTTACCAGCTGCACTTTCTCAATCAGGGAGGGACAGTCTGGATTGAGGGTACTACGCCACACAAAGCAGATCAAATCAGTGCTTATTGTACGAAACAAGGAAAAGAAAAAAAAAAGTGAGAAATGAAGATCAACGGGGTATTCGACTGACAGTTCCAGACCCCCGAGTTCTAAGACTTCTGATTCAGTTAAATCCGAGCTACTTTGGCTCATGATCTTAGACTTTTTTGAGATTTGGTGAGCGATTTGAAAGAGATCAAATTTCTCCATGGCCCCAGTGACAAAAGGAACAGTGCGATCGTTGATGGCGTTGGCATAGATTCTGACGACCTTGAAATTGACCAAGGCCTTATAAAAGTTGGTCTCTGGATGGGCCAGAAAGCTCAACAATGGGAACTTCTTCTTGCTAGGTTTGTCGGTGGGATTGGCAGATGAACTTGCTGGCAATTGGTGATATTTGTCGGTCAGATAGAGTTGGTTGCCCGTCCTGCTCAATAATCTCGAGCCGAAGAAGTGGATCGTCGAGCTTAGGATCCCCTTGTACTTGGGCATCCCTATCCATGGTGAAGCAAATGTATTGAAGTTCATTGGCTCCACTTCTTCAAAGAAAGATGGCTGTCTTGAATGCAGTAGTCCAACCAGAAACCTTGCAATGAGACCACCCAAGGAATACTAAAAATTGAAGCAGGTTTACGAAACAAAAATAAAACCAGAGTTCAGGTCAGACATTCATTAATCAAAGATGGACACGGTAGTTTTTTTATATTGTATGCTCACGCCGATGCAGCTAAACTTAGTCAGCACTTTTCCATCCAACTCCAATTCGGCCCTCCTCAGATCGATCTCCTGTGCGACATGTTCGGCGCAATAGTCAATTCCGTCGTAGGTGTTGGTCCATTGGATGGAGCGGGGGATGAGGATGCTGAGCGGGGTGCTGTTGGTGGTCCGGCCGGAGATCTTCTCGAGGGTGCTGGCCAGATGGCCGACGTGTTCGGGCGAGCCCCATAGACCATGGATGATGACTACGAGATGGACTGGCGATGGATTGGCTGTTCGAGCTGCCGCCATCGATGCTCTTTTCCAGTACTTGATCCAAAGTGGAGGAGGAGTGTGTTTGGTTTCTGAGCCAAGGGGTCATGCCCATTGCTGAAAACTGCTGCCTTATTAGAAGGAGCGCTTTCGGTAAGCCCATACATGCAATCGGACATCCGCGGCCTGTTAATTATTTAAGTTTGATAATTCGAGTACACAGCCACTGGATTACCCCATATGTACTACTCTTCAGTCTGGTCAGGTGAGTACTTTTTTAAATGTGCATCTCTCCAGATCTCTCCCTTCCTTGAACAGTATCAGATCAACGAGGAAGGGAGGCATCTCCCCTTCCCCTTTCAGACCAACAGTGGGTCTGAACAGGTTGGCAAAGAAGCTGCCGGCCTTCCCCCCTCCTCTCTTGGAGAGAGAACACCGCCCCAGCGGTCGGAGTCCGGACGGCACCCTCACAGCAACCCGCCAATTGATTTAATCCGTACACGCGGGAGTCTGCGGTGGTCTCCAGATCTAATACCGCCTCAGGCCCCCCAATGACCGCTAGTTATGAGCTTATGTTCAGTTTGGTCTGTGAACTACCTCAGAGAGACATAAGGATGTTGCAGAGTTTTAAGAAAAGAAAGGGAAAGTTCAATTATGAAAATTTGGAGGGGAAGAGCAAAGAGATAAAGAGATACATAGCCAAAAAAAACACTGTTAGGAGGATTCCTCCATTAGTATCAGCTGCATGAAAGTTTTTCAATGTGGAAATGCTTAAACTTGACACAAGCCCAGGGCCTGGACTGAGTCCAAAAACAAATAACATAATGCCTCAAACATGCCACTGGTAACACTCATGTAAGCTTATTCAAGGCACTTTTGAAATAGCTAAGTTAGCTCCTTTTCAGCCTCAATTTAATTCCTGGGTTAATTTGAAAAGTGCAAAGCAAATGAGCAGGTTCCCCCCACCCAACCTGCTATTTATCCTTGGGGCAAGATGGGTGTTGTTTGTAACATCTGTTTGGGGGACCTTAATTAGACAGTCAAGAAACTTTTCAATCTGTTGGTCAACCATTCACCACATCACTCACCACAATCAACAGCCAATTCTTGCCTCAAAATGGTCTTATCAAGTCAAAAAAAATGTGCTTTCCAAAATTTAGCCACAGGATGATATGGATCAAATGGTTTCTTCTGAATACATATATATTCACATACAGGTCTTGAGAATTTGTGGATTAACTGTGGTGTATGTGAATGTCTCATAAAATCAATGGAGGAGACTCCAAGTGATTTCCACCAGCAGAAAACCAAGGACATATTGGGAAAGCACACCAAAGCAGATTTAATGGCTCAATTTTTCCAGGAAAAAGATGACCACTGGCACTGCATAGCTGTACTGCTTTTACTTTAGCAGACCAATGTGCCACTCATGCAGCAGTTTTGGACACAAGAAAGTGGTGATAGTGCCTGGTGTGACATGTTGCAGCTTTGCCGTGAAAATTGGATAAGTAACAACAGTGAGTAACTGAGATTTGGAACAACCAGTATGAAGAAATCTCACCAAACTCTTGGCAGTTGACATGCAGGGAAATCACCATGTAGCTTCTATCATACTGTAATCTACTCCAATGTAAGAATTTATGAAAATTAACTGTGCAAGGTGCATAGTGACTGTGCAAGGTGCATAGTGACTGTGCAAGGAGCATAGTGACTGTGCAAGGTGCATAGTGACTGTGCATAGGACTATGGCTGAGGTAATGGTTGAGTAACATTGGAGTAACTACCCAACTTTCAAGAGAGTTTCTGCATGTCAACTGGCAGCAGTTCCTTGAGATATTTTCACAGTGTTAAGTACAGTGCATGCTGTGCTTTTTGCAGCAAAACTACACTTTTTGGGTGTGATTGTTACCTTTTTGAGCCAGGTGAAAAGCAGTGAACCATTAAAAGTACTCAAATCGCTGCTGGTGTGTCACTTCAGCCCAAAGATCCGGCAAAACCTCCACATCAAAATCTGGATTAGAGATGGCCCTGCCACGTCCGGATACCCATGTGGATGCAGATATCCAACCTCTTTTCAGCGGAATCAGGCATCCGGATCTGCATCTGCATCCACTGGTGGGTATCCGTTGGCCACAGCGGGTATCCATGGATACCCGCCCTTTTACTGGTTGACCATCGCCAACTGGAAAGGATATTCTTGCAGCAGAGTGGGATTTCTTTTCAAAAAAAAAAAAAAAGAAAAGAAAAAACCCCACCCCCGGCCCTTGACCTAGAGAGGCAGAGGGCCGAACCGTCAGGAGGAACCCCTCCTGGCGAGTGTCTACATGCCAGCTCGCCGAGAGGGGTTACTCCCGGCAAGCCGGTCTTTAAACCAGCTTGTCAGAAGGACTCCCTTCTGATGAGCTGGTCTATGTACCAGCTTGTTGGGAGGGGTTACTCCCAATTAGAGGGTATATACACCAGCTTGTCAAAAGGAATCCCTTCCGATCTTGTTGGAAGGGATTCCTCCCGCAACGATCTGGTACACAATTCAGCTCGCTGGGAGGAACCCCTCCCAACAAGCTGGCACCAAGCTCATTGGGAGGAACCCCTCCCGACGAGCTGGTTTAAAAACCAGCTTGCCGGGAGGGATTCCTCCCGGCGGTGTGGCCTCTTGGCACCGGGTATCCCTTGGGATACCCGGATACCCGCTGTGGAAAGCAAGGCGCACCCTAGGAGATTTCTTGTACTTCTCCGCTCCGCAACGCGTCCCACTCCAATTTGTTGTCCGGGGTAACTTGCTTGATGGTCTTATAGGGAGGTAAAATAACTCTCTTTATTGATCTTTTGTAGGTAACACTCTAACTCTAGTCTATCTCTAACAATTCTTTAGGCTAATACACAATTCACTCCTAAGTCACTCTGTTTTTCTGATATATTCTGAGTCCTTCTCCCCCCCCCTCTCTCCTCTCTTCTGCTCCGAACTCCCCTCCTCCCAAGTATCCCACACTCCAGTTCTTCCCTGCTTCCCACGATGTCATCCGCTGTCACCCCCTCGGACTCCGCATGTCACCCCTCCGACGCCTGTCGGTCCAGGTACTCCTCCGGCCGCTCATAAGCAGGTCTCCCACTGCCGCTTCCGCCTCTGGTCCGCTCCGGACCCCGCTTCCGCCCCTCGGTGCTCCCCGCTCCTTGTAGCCCCTCCGCAGTATACGCTGAACCCCCGTTCCGCAGTCGGCCGTGAACCCCGGTGTCCGCCGGTGCCCAGATTCCCCCACAGCAAGCTTTTCAGAACCTTGCGCATTCGGCCTACTTTTCCCCGCTTTCCCGCGCCTCGGAAAGCTAGAATTTCCACTAATGCACCGCCGCTTTCCTCAGCCTGCGTGCGTAGCGTCAGCTCCGCGTGCTTTCCGCATCAGCCGCGAGCATTCCGCATGCCCCCAAACAAACCGGCCAAAGCTTTGGCCAGGTCGCGCTCTCGCCACCACACCACCAGTATTTCAGGGGGAAGGGTGCATCTGCACCCGCTGGCACTGGCAGGTATCCGCCAGCAAATAGTGGATGTCTGTGACCATCTCTAATTGGCACTGGGGGGTATCCACCAGCAGATAATGGATATCCAGAGACCATCTCTAATCCGGATTTCAAATTTATATTTCATTTCATTTAGTTTCTTTATACAGTTAGAAATTTTCTTTAGTAAAATAATAGATACATAGTAGATAGTCTCCAAGCTATGTGACATGTTGACACGACTCTTTTTATTATAAATATTAGTCTCACATCTCACTCCCTATTGCCCTCTTATGGGATTTATTTTTTAAATGTTTCTTTTGAATAAAATCTCATTTCAGTTTTGTCACAACTCCTCAATTAAATACGGGGGTTCATGTTCCAGCCAAACCTGTGCTGATGCAGCTTAAGGTTTGCTTGCTGATGCACAGACCTGATGAACTTTAAATGTGGGATTTTGTTGAATTTTCACTCGTTCTCTCTCTTTTTTTCAGATGTCACTCATTTAATTCCTCAAGACCGAGTTGTTAGTTTATTCATTATGCATTCTCCCCAGCTCCCACAACTCATGCATTATTGTATCTAAACTATTTATGTCACTTGATACAAAGAAATAAAAGAAAAGTCA